GGGGGGGGGGGGAGTGGGCACTAATGCTGCCAACTCATGTAAGCACTGGTAGGCTGCAATATATCAAATGTGTTTTGTACATCAACAAACCCACCAATAAATGCATTATCTACACATTTAGAGTCCACCTACAGCTATTACTCACCTTAATTTCAACCTGGTTGAAGGCTTTGCCATTGTACACTCCCACCATGCTGCCAACCATTTCTGGCAAGATGATCATGTCTCTCAGATGGGTCTTAATAACCTCTGGCTTCTCCATAGGAGGTGCTTCCTTCTTGGCTTTGCGCAGACGTTTCAAAAGGGAGTTCTGTTTGCGGCGCAAGCCTCTGTTTAGACGCCGGCGTTGGCGAGCACAGTACAGCTGCATAATCTGCTCACTAAAACATGAAAGATAAAACAAACATTACATTTTGTAAACTATATCAACATTCTACTCTTTGAATATGTACCTACCACCACAAATACCAATCATTCTGGATTTACAGCCTGGTACACATCATCATGGGCAGCAGGTATGTCCATTAAATAAAGTTTACTTACTAGGACATATCGAGCAGCTGGTCCAAATCCACTCCTCTGTATGTGAACTTCCTGAAGGTCCTCTTCTTCTTCTGTTCGACGTCCGCCTACAAGTGGCAAAATATATAAAATAAAAAATTGTTGATTGCTTGAGCGACAATAAAAAAAAAGGTATTTCAGTTAAGGTGCCCACAAATGTTAAATGACCTCATCATCTGCGACATTCATCTATGTGACAACACCTGCTGTTTCTAGTCAAGGAGTTAGGGGGGTAAAACGGGTCTGTAGGGTCCCTCCCCAATTCCTCTCCACAGACCACCGCAACTGCTGACATTTAGGAAACGGGTCTGCAATTCACATACTCACACACCAAGTCCTGTCCTGCTGTGCACCACATCGCAATGCAACACACCGAGTCCCACACCACCATCTTCTTCCCTGACGCCATCAGGAAACTGGCGTTATTCAAGGTCCCTCCCGATGACATGTCACCAGGCATGTCCTCCTCTGTCCACTGTATGTAAACCAATATCTCCTGGGATATGTCATGTGCATACCAGGAAGATGGGGGACACCCAGAGAGTCAATAATGCAGATTAAAAAAAGGATTTTCATGTTACAGGGTGGCTAGGACAGCGTGTTTAAAAGGGAGAAAAGTCATTTTTCAGGGTGAAGTATCCCTTTAAAAATCTGCTGCCAATTTCTTACTTTGAGAACCTGCCAGTAACACTGCTGGTTACAGCTGCCAGTGTTAAGCCGTTGTCTGCCTTCCATGTGCACTCCACAGTTGGTTGTTGAGCTGGTAATCAGGTCTATGTGAGACAGACCTAATCAGCATACAGCTAGCTGAAAAAGTGCACATGGAAGGATCACAAAGCTGCAGCCAATCGCGAGGCAGTGGCTCAACGCTGGCAGCCTGAAACAGGAAGTGGCGTTACTGGCAGAATCCCCAGGTCCCTATCACAAAAATTATCAGAAAACTGAATACAGTGAGGGATGATGCTCAACATTCACAAACAGCCTTGGGCTTACCTACACTTCAAAGAGAAACGTCAACCCCACTTTTTTCCCCTATACCCGCCAAACAGGCTCGTCTCCAGCCACCATACTCACCCACCCAGCCAATCCAACATCATCTTGTTGTGATTAAGGATGCACAGATACTGGTTTTTCATATCGAGTACCGATATTTCTATTTTTTCGGTACTCCCACTAGGATAGAGCCCGCTCCCCAGGTAATCAGGAAGCCCGGTGACGCGTCATTACTGGCCGCTCGGCTTCCTGTTTCCTCACAGCACTGCCGGTCAGAGAAAATCTCCCTCGGACCATTAGTTCCAGTATCGGGGGTAAGTATCAGAGCATTTGGGCGAGTAGGAGTACTTGCCCAAATCGCCATCTGTGCATCCCTAGTTGTGATCAGTTTACACAGCCCCAGATGCAATATTTCACTCCTACATTTGGAGCCAGCCATCTCCTCCAAATTCAAGCAGCCAGATCCCCACCACCATGACATGCCACCAGGTCAGCCCTCCAAGCCTGGGATTTGTGATGGATACCCCAGGAGGCTGAGAGAGCAGCCAAAAATGGCAGTGGGTGGGGGCCTTGGCTGTGTAATACAATACACACACTGAGTGTAAAGTGAATGTCTCCTTTAAAAAGGGACAAGTTTGACAACTCAATGAGCTGTTGTAGTAACATTTCTACAGACTGTTAGCTGCCCGTTAAGAAGAATCAATTGATCAGTGTACATACACAATGAGAGGTCAGGGTAGACTCTACAAGCACCCTTTTATTTAAAAGGCACACACACTTTTCACTAACGTGCTATAGCAGTAAGCGGCCATACTGCCCATGATCAAGGCCAGCTTCATTCAGCTGAAGGTACACCCGCCGAGAGCCCACACACAGGTCGCAGCACACCACATATAAAAGTTGCATTCTCCTAACACAGGGAAATGTACAACAACAGAGAGGCGGACGTGTGAAGTAACCGGAACATAGGCCCTGGCGCTACCGTCACCTAAAAAAACTGCTCCGCTCACTATCATCCATAACCCCACAGCAGACAACACGGCACATCATTAACCGTCCACCCGCAGCCCAAATCTCTGCCGGCGCAGCCCATACAGCGGATGGAACCGGATTACAAGTCACACACACAGACCAGCACCCACCATCTTGTCAGAAGCCTTGGGGGAAAAGAGAGAGGTCTCGTACGTTCAGCTACAGATATCGCGAGACCCGGGACGACTTCCTGGCCCTGTTCGTCATTTCCGGTATATGAGAGAGTGTTGTTGGTGACCATGGTTACCTAATTATACATACAGAGTTTAGAGGATAATAAAGGGCGTTTTATTGCCTATACTTTACATATTGGCGTGTGTGTACACCACGGAACTGTCCTTGTTTTATTTTGTCGTTTTTCGCTTTAGATCAGAACGCATTTTGTTAGGAGATTGGTTAAAGAAGGACTCCTGGCAAAACTTTATTTATTTTAGCACCCAGGCGCAAAAGGAGCACTTACCCCTTTCAGTGCGGGGGTAGCGCCACTGCAATTGTTTATAAAATATTTTCCTGGAGTTCTTCTTCAACCCTTGCAGAAGGACTACCCCTGGCCAGCTATCACAGCATTCCCTTCAGCCTCTCTCTTCCCACGCTGCAGCGATGGTATGTCCCTCAGCATCCTCACGTCCCATGCACCGTGTATAGTATGTGATGACTTAAGGATCCTTAGACCCCCTCGAGCGGGGGGCGAAGCAGAAGGGAGCAGTCTAGCGGGCTTGCTCAGAGGTTCAGATGAGTATAACTTTTTTTATTTGATTCCCTCAACAAAAACGAGCTTTTAAAGTTGGGGTACTTTCTTACTAAATGCACCCACACATATTATATATTGTTTTTTAGAGGACAGATAGGTACACATATGTGATATAATTATATAGCCCTAACGCCCCCCCAAGCCCATAAAACACATAGGGATACATTGGGATGCATATTTAGTAGCGTACGGATCAGGTCAGCACAGAATACGGAGGTCGTGTGAACAGGCCCTAAGTGTAAAAAAAAAAAAAAATTCTCACATAATAAAAAACTACACCCAAAAAAGTTTTAAGTCCCTCACCCCCGCGTGCGCGCACTTATAAACATAAATACGCGTCGGGTACGCCTACGTGCGAAAACAACAATTACGCCGCACATGTTACATATCGTCGCAGTGAGAGCAATAACTTTGGGGCCATCAATCACTGATAACACTAAACTGATAACCGTTAGAAGCTTTTAAAGCGTCGCCTATGGCCAATTTTAGGCATGGTAGTGCAACTACATATCCAAATGGGGGCTTGCCGCGCAAAGAGGAAGTGGACTATTTTCTTATTTAGTGCTCAAAAAACAAAAACCACAGAGGTTGCTACCTAACGCCCCCTAAACAGGTCAGTTCAGCAGCCGCAGCCATTTGTACATTCAACTTTAACTATTAGCCCCTCCATTAATCAAAAAATGTTTTTCCCCCTCCACAAAACAGTTTATATATCAGTATGATATTTAAATGTATTCATATTGAACCCCTATCATCCTGTCTCGCCAATCTACCACATTTACACCCATAATCACCGGGAACAACAGGTGTCAAACCAGTAATCTACATAATTGATATTAACTTTTCCTGTAAATCCATCAATATAATCTGAAATAACATATTAAATTGTGTACAGCCATAAAAAATAAATACAAAACGCATTACATTTCTTTTACAGTATTTATAGTAAATGTGTCCAAGATGTTAACATTTGAGAATTTTAAAATTCCATAGCATCAGGAGTTGTTGTTCAAACAATTGTATATATATCATAATCCAAAAGCTAGCGTAAGTTATTTACGTAAAAAAGGCTTATAACTAAGAACCTCATTTAGGCCAGGTGGCCGTGTGGCCTGCAATTAATACAGGGGTCAAAATTTCACGTCCGGAGCTACTAGCCAGGCCTTAAGAGTTACTCGCCACCAGTTGCCCACCTAACCCCTACTCTCCCGCAGCCTTAACTCCGCCCCTAAACACACCCTCTTAAATAATCTGGTCAGTGAGACTGTTACATGTTTTATGCAGAATAAAGTTACAAGAATAAATATTAACAACTTTAACAATATCCCCCCCCACGTATAAAATTATACACCCCCTGTTCCCTGCCCCCCACACATAACATAATAATCCCCCCCTCCCGTTCCCTGCCTCCCAAACACATAACATAAAAATCCCTCCGTTCCCTGCCCCCACAATGTAACATAATACAAGGAAGCCCCCTCACCTGCTTGTCTTTCTGCAGGGAGGAGGCGAGCAGGCAGATCCCTGGTGATCTGGTGCGATTAGTAAGGTCTGCAGACATTACTAATCACTCCGTTTTCGACCCGGGGCTCAGTGAAGAGCTCCGGCCGAAAGGAAGGGAGACAGACCAGCAGAAGCAGCTGCTCCCACGAGTCAGGTACGCGATCTGCGACCGCAAGCCTGACAGGAATTTCCACTCGCCTGCACTGCATTTCCACTCGCCAAATGCGAGCAGGCGAGTGGAAAATTTGAGCCCTGAATTAATATATCCATTTGGTCTCTTGCCTGAGAACCTCTGCATCACCATCTCTAATATTTTCATATACTTGATCTAAAATCCAAAACTTCATACAGAATGCATCAAAATTGTGCACTAACCCCACGTGCAGGGCCGGTGCTAGACTATTTTGCGCCCTAAGCAAGAGCAGCAGATTGCAGCCTCCCTACAACAGTGCAACCCCTAATCCCCACTCACCACACAGCCCCATTCCCATTCTCCTGCCAACTAGCTTCTGCAGGTGTCTGGTGGATGGAAGCAGCCAGGAGCAATAGCCAGACTGCTATTAGCTATTTTAAGTTGAAATAACCAATAGCAGGTTGGCTATTTAAACCCCACCCACTCACCTGAGAGAGAAAGTCGTCTCTCAGTTCCACTCCTCAGTGGACAGGTGCAATAGCCAGCCCCCTATTGGCTTTTGGAATTTGACATAAATGGGGGGGCACCGTGTGGGGGTGAGTGGTCGAGGCTGCGCCCTAGGCGGCTGCCTAGTTTGCCTAGTGGCAGCACCGGCCCCGCCCACGTGATGACTAATAGGGGTGGAAGTAATCCCCCTGGAAAGTAAATATACATGACCATATATCCTACGTCGCTGTTGTCGCTTTGTCTTGCCCACATAAAAAGACCCGCATATACAGCTTATCAGATAGACCACCGCTGTGGTTGAGCAGTCTGCAAAATGTTTTGATGTAAAGGTTTCACTTTCCTGTATACATTGACAGTAGTTGCATTCCTCACATTTTCTCATTTCTTTACAAGGGTCCCCCCATCCATCACGTGCATAATGACTTTGTGTTATCCTATCTCGGATCGACTTTGATCGTATATACACAATTTCTGGCGTACTTCTAAAGTGTTTTGACACAGTTGTATCTGCAGTAAGCAACGGCAAATATTTATTAACTATTTGCCGTATATCCTGATGTTGCGCCGAATATTTGGTTATTAGTTTGACTGTTTTTTGAATGTTATCCATTTGGGGGGAGCCATATAGCAGCTCTTCCCTGGGTACTCTCTGAACCTTTTGATAAGCCTTTTTTAAGGTGTCTATGACTGTATCCTCTTTAGGAGTCTGGCCCGTAAGTTGTCTACGAGTCTTTTAAAGTGACATTAACCTCCCTGGCGGTATGATTACGTCAGGAATTTTGTACCAAAAGCTGTACAATTTTTTGCATGGAAATTTGGTGTTATCTATTGTAGGCCTGCAGTTCTTAGTAAATCTTAGGAATAACTCACCTAAATCTGTCCAAACAAGAGTCCAGTAGACATCCCAGGTATGATAAAGTTTGAAACACGAAATTAAAAAATTATAATATAATAAATTATAAGAAATAATAATATTTAAAAAAATTGTCAGACAATAGAGTACCAAGTTCGCACATCACTGAGCTCGGTCGCAGAATCGTCGCTGTTTTAGGTCAAAAGCGGTTTTAGACCAGGTAGAAAACAGCAACTTCCTGTCCCACGGTGTCTGCATGCAGGTGCACGCCGTCCATATACTTACCTTGCGTCTCTCCTCGTCTCCCGTCCGAAAATGTGAACTGCGCCCGCCCCAAGATGCTTTGCGGCTGCCCGACCATTTTCGGATGGGAGGGCGCGGGGAAGACACAGGTGCGTATTAACCTCCTATAAAGTGTTTTTTTAAATACTTTTTGCATATATCTACTGCTTGCTAGCAGTAGATATATGCAAACAAACCGGAGGGTTTAATAACCCTTGAAATTCCATAGTGTCTGTCTGGCACCGGGGCTATTCTCGTATCCGCTTCAGAACGCTATGTAGACACTAAAGTAGGGGAGGGGTGGGCCTGCCTGACTTTGAACTGTATCATAGCGCAACTCTCCTAGCCCGCATGCTGGACTGGTTTCCCTCCACCGATGCACGTGCCAAACCATCCCTATTGTTCGAACAGAATCTTTGCCCGCTTGACCTTAGAGCTCTTCTCTGGAATCTTCCCTTGCTGCGGGCGTCCCATCCCTGCCCTCCCCTCTTACACTAGCTACGCTGCGAGTCTGGCGCACTCTACGAGACAAACATAAGCTATCTACTATACCTAGTCCTTTGACCCCCTTATTTGATAACCCTGATCTACCAATGAGTAGTGCGATCACTTCTATCGGAGGTCATGTTAGAAGGGATTGGCTAATGGCTAGAGACTTCATTGCTCCGTCTACTGGACGTTATGTGCCCTGTGAGCGTGCCTCCACTGCTATTCCGGCTCATTGGCTCTTGGATTTGCAACTGTCCAGCTTCTGTAAAGACCTATCTGACTCGAGGCAAATTCACAGACCATTGACCCAATTTGAACGCATGATTGTTTCTTCGGATCCGAGACGCCATACACTATCTGTGCTCTATGGGATGTTGAGGGAGGACTTACAGTTACCAACACTTGCTTTCCAAACTCACTGGAGTACTGATCTTGCAAGATAATTGACGGATGCGGATTGGCATACCGTTTACTACTTTACCCATAAAGCTTCTGTCTCCTCATATGCCCAGGAAAAAATGATAAAATCGTGACTAGATGGTATAAAGATCCAGTCTCTGTTCGCCGGATCTTTCCTAATTCCTCAGATACATGTTGGAGATGCAACTATCCCTTTGGGTCAGCTATGTCAACGACATTATGCAGATGGCAGAATTGCTTGCCTCCGATACAGATAGCCTTT